AATACTGTTATGCAGAAGGAGCTTTCACAGTCTAACCAGGGGAAAAAAAGCCATCTGAAAACTAAAAAAGCCTTTTAACTTTTTAAATTTTATTTTAAAATTCAGTAGTTAATGCCAAAGCTTGTGATTCTGTCAGAAACTATAATTGTGATTCTCCATGTTTACACAGTGATAGCTTCCCCCCCAAAATCTTCTGGTAAGCGCGTAAGCAAGAGCAGTAGGAATTCAGAATGACTACATGGACTACAACTGGCACTAAAGTCGGATTTTTACAGCATTTGCTCTGCAACATTTACAAGAATTAATTGCTCACTTGAGTATTTATATAAGCTCCTCACATGCCATTGCAGGCAAACCACAACTTCACATTTATACAAGCCCAAAATGCTTGGTACATGCCCATGTCTTTCACACGTCACACCATCAATTCCATTCCTTAAGTACTTCCAAGGACTTTAAAGTATGTTGGATATTTTCTTTCTTCAGTGCTTGGCTAAACTGGGAATGTTTGCTAATTTCAGTCCTGCTTTGTAAACTACATCCCTCCAGATTCCCAACCACTTCTTAATCCGACAGTTCCCTCCTAAACTGAGCCTCTTCTCAGCCCAAGTTAACAGTGTTGCTAAAAAGTAGTGGTCCTTGCTCTCCCTCGTGGTCATCACTACTTTTCTGGGGCCGGGAGGGACAGGGGCTGCCAGGTCCTTGAACAGGCTGTGTCCCTCATGATTATTTTAAGCAGACTGTCACCACAGAAAAAAGCCCTGGAATCCCCACCCTGGTTCCCAGCTGTGATTTCCTGCCCTTGCAGCTCCTGGGAAGCAGGTGCATGGCACTGGGGAACAGAGATGGCCAAATCCATTTCAGACATGGCAATCCAGCACAGCCTCTCCTCTGCAGCACTGTGTGGTTGCAGGGATTGCTACTTTTTGCAGCTATCCTCGCTTATCTTGATGTGGAATAATGATAAAACTCAAACTCAAATTTTTGTTTTCTACTGCTTTTGCCCCGTTTCCATCACTGACATCCGTGTTACATTTTACTTCTCCCCTCCAAAAGACTGTCCCCACTTCTGCAAGCTCTAGAGCATTTAAATGAAAGACACTACATTGCCATTCTTTACTGCCCAAGAGAGACACCTGTGCAGCACCAGAAAACAAAACTATGAAACATTATTTAAAATAAATACTGCAAGTATATAAGCAATCACCTTCTCGTTATGCACTTGGGAAGTGCGGAATTGTTTCAAACTCCAAACCACCCCACTGAGCACGTTTTGAGAACACAGCTTTTACTGAAACTTCACTCGAGTTTCAACCACAAGAAAACGTTACATGGTGTTAGCCCGGTCCTGCCTTATGTCACTAAGGTTAATCCTACACTTCAGCTCCCTGCTGTGCACTCAGAGGTGTGCGGGGAGACGTGCTTCAGAACTGCCCCTCGAGAGTCCTCCTGACTGAACAACCGTGCTGGCATCAGTTGTAGAGAAGAATGCAGCCACACACATACCGGTGCTGGTATTTTCTGATCTGCCTTTTATCCAGACAGGTCTCTCTCCATTCTTTTCCCCTCATGTTTCATTAGATCAGCTCAGTTTGCTTTCGTCTGGCTGAAAACTCTGTTTTGACAAAATACACCTTCAGACACTCCTTATTCCACTTCAGTTACACAAACACCTTCTAAGCTAGCCCTCACGGCACAGTCACAGTAAGAAACTATTTCCTGCCCCTCTAACTTGTTGAGATATTTTTAGTCGAAATTGAACGCACATACCTGTGGCAGGTGAGGCACCAGTGAGAATGTGGGTGTGGTGAGATCTTTGCTTTTCTAGTGCCAAGTGTTTCTACAGTTTGTCATTCCAAATCAAGGGAGGTGGCCAGCTGTCTAGGAGTCACTCCTCTCAAGGAGGCTCTTCACCCTTCTACATGGGGCAGCTCTACTTCTCGGGTTTTTCTGGTGACTGCAGGGGGCTAGAGAATCTTTAATCCCATCAAGGGGCAAGACAGAGCCCCTCTGCTGTTGCAGCCTTCCACATGGGAAAGAAGACAGATGCTAGAGACTCCATCAATTAAGGAAAGCCTCATACTACCTCCGAAAGGAACAACCCTGCCCTACCTCCTCCAGCAGTAAAACGCCCTTCGCACCACAAGACTGGTTCAGAACTGACTCTGCCTGCCACCCGTTACATGGCTGGGAATAAAAGGTTTTCCAGAGTCCTGGGAGCTTCAGAGGGTTTTAATCTTCATTTGCTGATAGCATGACCAACTCTATCCTGCTTCTGAAGGACAAGACATTTTGTCCAAGAATCCAGCAGGATGGAAGACTAGTTGTGAGAGTTCCGTTGCTCCACAGAGAACAAGCATTTGCATCTCCACACACACCTTCACTCATTTTATTCCCCCCCTCTTGATGCATTCTAGGGCTGTTTCCTCTTACCTACAGGGAATCCTACCAAGGGCCCTGCAGAATTAACACTCTCATCATTGGGCTTCCAGACCTGGCTCTCAGCACTAGGACCCATGGAAGATGCAGTCTCTTCCTGCTTTATAAGAATGCTCTAAGCAGTCAACATACCCAAGATCCATACCCTTATGTACCTGCCACTGATCCTAGGCTGCTTTAGAGCTACCAAACTTGAAGGGGACTGGGAGATTTGCTCAAACTACAAAAAAACCCAGAATGAGGATGAAGTAAGAAAACTAGCACTCTTCTCACACTAGACAGTATGTTTGTTTCTCATGAAGACAACTTTTAAAACTTGGGAAACATGTTTTTTTCTTTTTTATTTAACCATGCTATGTTTTTTTGTAATTTTTCAAAGTGTGCTGCCCCAAGCAAAAGTATAAAAGCCTTCTGACTAGCATACATGTATATATTAATGTTGACATGAAGTAACCACTGGGCTCATCTTTACTGCAGTATTTTCTGCTTTCCATTTAGATCTAAAAAGGAATCTTTTCATTAGTTTTTCGTGCTGCAGAAAATCCAGTTTATAAGTAGTTCTAAATGACATTAAATTTTCATGTTGAGTGATCATGAAGGAACTTCTCACACTTCTCTGCCCTCCAGCAGCAATGTCCAGCGTGAAAAATTTTATTGCCAATAGGAATAGCACTAACCTTCCAGTTTGACATGAAGAGAAGTACATTTAGCCCATTCTTGCAAGAGTATACTTATATGGCGCTAAATTCTGCCCAAGACAGAAATAAATAGGGAAACACGGAAGAGCCTCTATGATACTGGGGTTTTTTTCCGCCATACTGCTTGTGAACTGCTTTCCTATGTAAATACTACCCTCTTGTGTTGGTTTCTAAGTACTACAAGAATCACCCACAAAAACCCAAACCAAAGCCCAGACCCCTCAGAATCACTAGGGTTGGAAAAGACCTACCAGATCAGAGTCCAGCTGTCAACCCAACACTACCATACCCACTAGACCGTGTCCTCAAGCACCATGTCTACACGTTCCTTGATCATCTCCAGGGATGGTGACTCCACCACTTCCCTGGGCAGCCTGTTACAATGCCTGAGCACTCTCCCAGTGAAGAAGTTTTACCTAATCTGAACCTCTAATGCAACTTGAGGCCATTTCGCGGTTTCCTCTTGTCCTATCACCAGTTACCTGGGAGAACAGGCCAGCACCCGCCTCCCTACAACCTCCTTTCAGGGAGCTGTAGAGGGTGATTAGGTCTCCCCTCAGCCTCCTCCCCTTTTGGCTAAACCACCCCAGCTCCCTCAACCACTCCTTGCAAGACTTGTTCACCAGACCCTTCACCAGCTTCATTGCCCTTCTCTGGACATGCTCCAGCATCTGTGTCCTTCCTGCAGTGAGGGGCCCAAAACTGAACACAGCACTCAAGGCACTCTGTACCAGTGCCTAATACGGAGACACAACCACTGCCCTAGTCCTGCTGGCCACACTGTTCCTGATAAAGGCCAGGATGCTGTTGACCTTCTTGGCCACCTGAGCACACTGCTGGCTCATATTCAGCCGGGTGTTGACCAACACCTCCAGGTCCTTTTCTGCCTGACAGCTTTCAGCCACTCATCCCCAAGCCTGTAGCATTGCCTGGGGTTGTTGTAACCTAAATGCAGGACCTGGCACTTGGCCTTGTTGAACCTCATATAACTGACCTCAGCCCATCGATCCAGCCTGTCCAGGTCCCTCCTACCCTCAAGCAGGTCAATACTTCCACCCAACTTAGTGTCATCTGCAAACTTACTGAGGGAACACTCAATCCCCTCATCCAGATCACTGATAAATGTTAAACAAGACCAGCCCCAAAACTGAGCCCTGGGGGACAAGATCTCCTTGATCTTGCCAGTCATTAGAGATTCTGGATTAAATTCCAGACAGTGAATACTCTAATCCTGCCAAAGTAGGTTTTCTTTGTGCTGAGCCGCTCTTCAGCCGACATATTTAAGGTACTGATGCCACATCTGAATCCCTAAGACTGACCTAAAAGGAAAACCACCTGGCAGAGCTGATACTCAAAATGAGCAGGACAGGTCAGTGAGAAAGACAAGGAAAACCAGGTAACTTTAAAAGTAATATATTTGGAGTTCTCCACGTCACATGTCCCTTCACCAAGGCAAGGACATGACAGCTGTGCTATGGAAACTCGGTTGCTTTCTTAAACATTTTCCTCTCTTTTTTCTGACAGACCTATCTGACCCCGTATGCACTCAGTGCGTCTGAGCAGCAAGACAAGCTGCAGCAGTGGGAAAGCTGCACCTCTTTGAATGAACAAGACCAGACCACAGCTGGTTTTGGGTCCAGAGGTGATGATCTGGTGTCTCTGGAAGGAAGATCAATCCCATGGTACCACAATGGGCCAAGCTCCAGCTGTAACTGGTGAAGGAGAGGAAGTTGTTTTCCAGGTGGACGTGCCCAATTTAAAAAGTAGTTCTGAAAAATAATCCACTGGAGATGGCTTGGTAGACAGTCTCTGCCAAACTCACGTAGCCATAAAGAGAAAGATGAAGTCTGTCCAAATACTGAACTAGAAGGCTTTCCTTTTCTTCTTTTTCCCACCCACTACCTTATTCCTGACACCAATAGCTTCTTCTGTGTCATCATCATCATCATTCCGAGATCGTTTCTTCTCTCCCTGCTCCCGCAGCTCCTGCAATGCAATCAAGAGATTGACCAACAGTCCTGGCACCCAAGGAAATTCAGACTGTAACAGCGAGCAGAGGGACAAAAAGCCAGCACCCACCATTCGAGCAAGTCTCTGGGCCTCAGCCACACGCTCTGTCAGCAACATAACTTCCTCCTCCTGCATGGGGAATGCTGGCAGCTTCTTGCCAATCAGATGTTCAATGCGCTGGAACAGCTCTACATCGTACCTGAGAAATGGCAAGATGCCAGCTAGAATCAGCCCTCCTGAGAGTGCTTCTGTTGTCACCATCCACAGACATCACCCTTATCTCCAGCCCACAGATACAGTTCACTGGTGCTGATGGTCTCACAGGCAACTCTTAATTGCATCCAAATGATGCCATCATTTGGGATGGCTTTGCTGATTTATTCAGCTTCTCTGGTTTGAAGTATTCAGACCTTTTTTCTTTTTAGACAAATACTTCAGTGTATTTATGAAAAAGCACGCTTACTTAACCTGCATTATATGTTACAAAAACGTATGTGTATTATACAATCAAGTTACATACAGTTAATTCTGCTCATTACATGCCTGCTTCTAGAATTTACCCTGGACCTTTCTCCCTCCCCACCCTGGGCTTTGAATTCTGTCCCCTTTAACTAAATAAATCCAACTGGCACCTCAAAATAAGAAGTAGTACTTTCTTCTCACCCAGGAAGATGTCAGCCATTTTCTGCTCTGAAACACAGCTAGGAAGAATAAGTCTGCCACATTTTAACACTTACTGTGTGACAAAGGTGATAGATTTGCCAGATCTCCCAGCTCGAGCTGTTCTCCCAACACGATGAATGTAATCCTGAAAACAGTTGTCTTGATAAGCAATAAGATACATGCACCAAACAGAACTTAAATTATGAGAAATCAGCCCATGCAGTTTTTCTTTAGAAAAAGAAAATGAGGAGAAAATACAGCCAGGATTGAACACCTGGGACTGTGTGCAGCACTGGGATTTGAGAAGATGCTGCATTATGGAGGCATATCTTTGGCTTTAACATTTGGATTCTTCTCTTTCTAAAGGAAAAGACCAACTATTCAAGACCGCAGGACAAAAGTAGTGATACATGATTTTGCTAATGAACTATCACTTCCTTGGAAAGCTAATATTTAAAGTGAGCCAAGGCCTGCATTTTCAGTCTTAGGATCCAGTGCTCTACACAATCTGTACACAATCTGTCTTCCAGACAAATCCTCTGGCAAGTAGATTTAAATTTGGCAAGCACAGTGAAAAGGAGGATGGATGAGAACTATCTGGAAGTGTCTGATCTATTGAGCACCTTCTACTGATATGGTTCTAGGCTGTTTTCCAGGTTTTATACTGCATTATGGAAATTAAATGCTCCCTTCTCCATGTATGATCTGTGGAGAAAGGAAGCATCATAAGAAAGGATTTTGTTCTGTGACATGGTTAGAGGAGAGGGAGGAGCACAAAAACTGCAACTATTGCTGCTGCCGCCACCACTATTTTTAACTTTTGTCCTTTCACCATGTCAAAAGCAGTCTCTTCTACTTTCCTTTGTTTATAATGTGCAGTGGCTTTAGTGATTATAAGGAACAACAGCAATACCCAAAATGCATGTTAACGGTATGCTTTCTGAAACTAGCCTGGGAAACAAAGTCACACCCCCACGATAATACTATACTTTCTATAAGGTAGAAGTTCATAACTCACTTTTTTTCAGTTTGCTGTACTTTTGTGATATGAAGCTGAAAAAAATACTAAAGACATCTTTCTTGATCAAATCCTGATTGAACATAATGGAGGAATTTTTACTTTATTTTTCTTCCACAGTTTAAAATGTGAAGGCAGACCTGGATCACAGGAGCAGAGATGACTACCTGAAACTAGTAATGTTAAAACTGTTCTCAAAGTCTAGAAGCCCTTTTAATGTAATATGGCAAATACATACTCAGAGCAGAAATACAAAGACACAGGATGTCCCTCACTTCCCCTCTTCACTTACAGGGTCAGTTCTACAACCCAGACAAGGAACTGCAGTTCAGTTGGGTGGCCAACTCAATCGCAGAGGCCACCCAACTCAATCTACATCTTTTCATCCACAGAAGTGTGAACTAGACCTTCAGTCAGCAGAACAGAGAGAAGGAGTCTTTGTTCCTTTGTCAAGCTTCACTACGCCTCCTGGTGATCAGCTCTCAGCTGGCACACAGACTAGCTTACCTTAGAGTGCGTAGGAATATCGAAGTTTATCACCACATCTACATGCGGGATGTCCAGACCTCTGCTTGCAACATCAGTAGCCAGCAGAATAGAACGTGCCTTTGCCTTGAACTTGTTTAGAGAGCCCAAGCGTTTATTCTGGAAGAGAACAATGAATAATGTTCATTCTGGTTAATAGAGTCATAGAATCACAGAATGGTTTGGGTTGGAAGGGACCTTAAAGACCATCTAGTTCCAACCCCCCTGCCATGGGCACGGACACCTTCCACCAGACCAGGTTGCTCAAAGCCTCATCCAGCCTGGCCTTGAACACTTCCAGGGATGGGGCATTCACAGCTTCTCTGTGCAACCTGTTCCAATGCCTCACCCCCCTCTCTGGGAAGAATTTCTCCCTGATATCCAATCTAAACCTCCCCACTTTCAGTTTAAACCCGTTACCCCTTGTCCTGTCACCACAGGCCCTTGTAAAAAGTCCCCCCCCCGCTTCCTTGTAGCCCCCTTCAGGTACTGGAAGGGGTTATAAGGTCTCCCCGGAGCCTTCTCTTCTCCAGGCTGAACACGCCCAATACACTCTTGTTGAAATTCTGGTACAAGAGAACTGGGGGAGAAACGCCTGGAAATCTCACTTCCCTAATTTCTTTTAGAACTGTTACAGAGTCAGTGGCAGCATTCCCATTAGTTACATTTCTAGGGATCAGATCAGTCCAGTCCACTTCCACATGGTAGTTGTGACTCAGTATGGTGCAGCCCACTCCCCAAGCGACAGGTCTCCTGTCTACTCCATTCTGTGGGGTACTCCATACCTGGCTCATCTGCCCATGGAGAGGAATAGCAGTGAATCCCAGGTTGCGGAGCAGTAGAGCAGTCCTCTGAGTGTTGTTACACGTACTACAGAATATCATGGAAGAGTTTCCAGCTAGTTCATTCAAGATATAGACCAAGTAGCTGTCCTATAAAGAAACAAAGAAAAAAACCAAGGAGATCACATGTGCCACATTAAAGAGTAAGTATAAGCCAGAGATGATGACATATTGGCCAGATATGGGAGCAGCAAGAGAAGACACAGTCAGAAGAGGGAGGAAACAGAAGTGGCATTACCTTGAATTTTGAGGGGATGAAAATGTAGTACTGCTGTAGTTTTTCAACTGTCTGATATTTGGAAGAAACAGCACATTTAACAGGATTCTTCAGAGCAGCACGCTGGAGTTTTTGAACCTGGGAAGATCAATGTAAGTTAGTAATAAATGGACAGAGACCTTGTCAGAAACCTGTATCATACAGTCTAGTCAACATATATTGTTGACTAGACTGTATGATACAGTCATACATATGTACATACATACAGTATGATAAATACTGTATCATACATTGACTGTATTATACAGTCAACATCAGTCAAAATATAGCCTGATGGAAGGAGAACGAAAGCAAAGTACTCTGCTCTCACCTTCTTAGTCATGGTAGCAGAAAACAGGAATGTCTTCCTGTCTCGAGGAATCACTTTTAGTATCTTATCCACCTGTAAAGAGAAATGGAAATGCTGACTACAACAGCAATCAAGACATAAGCCTCTTCCAAATACAGTGATCATCCAAATGAAGATTAACACACATGTGCAACTCAGATTCACATTAGGAACAAATTTGCCCTCTTCTACAGGGAAGGTGTAGGTTGATAGCCTGTTGACAATTAGGCAGTATGAACTCCAGAATTCCAAAAGCAGTGCAAGTATCAGGCAATATTCCTGCAGGAACGTGCGTGCGATTGTGTTCTACAGCAACCGTGTCAATGTCAGGCGCTCCCGAGAAACCAGTACATTTCAGACAAAATGCCTCCTACTGTCTTGAGTGCTCTGCAGAACTCTGCTAAGTTCTATTTGCAACATCAACTTTTGTGCAATTATTACATCTTAATCAACGTTTGCTATTAATTTCTACAGAAAAGCTCAGTGTTTACTATGTGATTGTATGAAGTGATTTTAAAGACTCATCTGGCATTTCAAACACTCTTCTTTTAGCAGATTCCTACCTCTGTCTCAAAATCCATGTTAAGGATACGGTCAGCCTCATCCATCACTAGGAACTTCAGAGCTCGTAAGTTGAAGCCTTTTGTGTTCTCCAGATGATCAACTAGACGGCCAGGGGTTGCTACAGACAAAATCACAAGAGCAAATTTAGAATGAAAGCAGAGGAAAAGATCCAAAGAAGCAGGAGTGATCCATTACAGAAATGGGATTCTTTGCTCAAAAGAAGTAAAGGCAGACTGCTTTGTGTGAACGACTCTTTCACAGGGTATCTTCAAGATGTTTTGAAACAAGACTAATGGAGTCAGACTCTCTGAAGAATGCCCTCTGGCCCCCTCTTCCCCTAAAAACAAAAAGCAAAACAAAACAGACAAGCTGTACTGAGAAGGATGAGACCAGCATTTTGAATACTTGGGGAGAAAACCCAAGCCAAAGGTAGTCTAGCAGGACTGCTTTGGAATGAGCCTGTAGCAGCAAGGCTACTGGTGTATACTTCAGAAACATTAACAAGCCAGTACTCAGATCTCGGGATCCAAGCAAAAAGCAAATGAAAGATGTACTCTCACTTCTCTTTCAAATGCACAAAACCTTTTGGCATTCTTTCTTTGGACAACTACAGTTTGATAATATTCATACCCTGTACCCCCAGCCAGTTAACTTACCAATAATAACATGTGGTTTCTTGGCTAACGCCAGAGATTGAGACATTGTGTCAATTCCACCCACAATAACAGCTGTAGGACAAAAAGAATATAGTGAATCTCTCAGGGCAGCACCAGGAAGCCCCTGGCACCACAGTGTTTCCTCCTACTCCCCACCACCCACAGCAACTGAACAAATGAAACACTACTTATCTTTATGAGAATTCAATTTGTTTTAACACACCTGATGCTACGTGGAGTCTTATGCCATACAATTAAGTACTTACTGCCCTCACGTATTTCATTTTCACAGTTGAAGAGCTGCAGGCAGAATCTATTCCTTGCAGCTTAACTCAGCTGGAAAAATGTAGGAATTCTAGAAATCCCTACAAAGCTTTTATGTTTGTAGAGAATAGCTGAAGAACCACTACAGTCAGTCTGAAGGTAAGATTAAACTACATCACGCTACAGCGGAGCTCTGTGCAATTTCACTGGAGGCAGGCTTGCTATTGAAAAGATTCTCTTCTACTTCCATCTTTAACTGATGCAGACAAACTGTTTGGACATAAACCACAGAAGAGCTGCAGACCAGTCCGTGAGGAAAGACCATACAGCCTTTCTTTCCTAAAGGTAAAACCAGATCTCTGTCTTCCAGCATCACAAGTTTTTCTCACTTTTTGTTCAACCCTCCATACAAATACTCTCTACTTTTTCCTTCGCGATCTAGAGCTGACAAACACCAGTCTTCAGGAAAACTGCTCCAATATCACAAAGCTACTTACTACTGTGGACACCGATGGAAGATCCAAGAGCTTCAAACTGCTCTGAGATTTGGAAGGCCAGCTCCCTTGTTGGTGTGAGGACAAGAGCAAATAATCGCTGAGGCGTTTCCAGCAATGCTTGAAGAATCGGCAAAGCAAAGGCTCCTGTTTTTCCAGAGCCAGTTTCTGCCAGTCCAATGATATCTCTGCCTACAAGGAAGAGCAAGGAGGCCAAAAAAATATTACAGATCCAGACCAGAGAAAGAAGTCTTTAAAGCACTGTGCAATAAAGCACAAGAAATCTCCAAAGATTAAAAAACCCAACAAAACCAAACCAAAACACCAAAAAAACAAGGAGACACACAGAAGGTAAAGAAGAACAAAGGGCCAAACCAAAGAATTTCATAACTTCTCTGCACCATTTTTAAAATATGACTTCACATGTAAAATAATTACAGTATTGATCCAGAGAAGTTCGCAGAGAAGTATTGCCCAGAGAAGCTGTGGATGCCCCATCCCTGGAAGTGTTCAAGGCCAGGCTGGATGAGGCTTTGAGCAACCTGGTCTAGTGGAAGGTGTCCCTGCCCATGGCAGGGGGGTTGGCACTAGATAGTGTTTAAGGTCCCTTCCAACCCCAACCATTCTGTGATTCTACGACCCTTTCCATCCTCTAGTTAAACATCTGCCAATACACAGGTTTTTGTGCAAACTTCATGTTCAAAAAAACTTTATTATTTCTCAAATCTGTCTGTCAATTTACAGCCTATTGCTTCTATCTGGGTAAATATCCTAGACCAACTGTTGTCTGTTTAGTGGCTTACAAGGAAACAGACTCCAGCGTCATACCCACTACAAGACAACAGCACTACCAAACTCACATTTCACAATCAGTTTTGTGCAATTGATTAAGAGAGTAATCCAAGGCCTTTTGCAGCAGGAAGGATTAGGACAGCAAGTCCTTTGCGCAAAACCATGACAGGCAAGAGGGTAGAATTCATCAGTAGAACCCATTCTGACCTCCTAAACTGCTACAGCTGAGACCAACAAGCTGCCAACAGCCCTTAAAGTGGCGACAACCTCTCAGGAACACAGTCTTACTTTTGGAGCTTTTTTCCCCAAGCAAATCTTGTACGTGGAGCGAGCGAGTCTGATAACAGTTAAAGACTAGGACAGAGTAGATAATGAAAGTTTATTCCCATTCTGTCACTACATTGTTCTGTTCCTGCTTCAGTGTATTTTTTTTTTTAATGAAAAATCCCCAACTAAATATTCTACAGGCAAAAATGTTTGCTAAATTCAGTAATCTATCTTCCTGTAATTCCAGGTTGTTTACAGAAAGTCACTGTGGTTTGGTTATTACTCACTCTGGAAATCTAATTTCAAAGACTTGCCTGCTCACAGCAAAGGGGATTACACAAGCTATGCAGTCAGCCAAGGCACCTCTGATTTCAGAGATACACTCTAAGTCTCTACAGAAGAGGGACAGCCTAAATCTATCAGAAGCTTCCTGTATATCCTTGAGTATTTCAAAAAGAAAACGGTTGACACAGACTAGCAGCTCAAATGACTGACAGTGATTCTATTTAACACGGAGTGTCAGAACTATGCAACAGTAGCAAACACTCAAGAACCCGTATTTGTACCCATGTGAAAGTTTACAATAGCAGGCAGTGTTATAGAAGAAATATGTGTTCCAAATTTCACCTGGGAAGGACAAAAGAATGAACAGAGACTACTTCTAGATAGAGATCTTCAATGATGCAGATCTTTGGTGAATGACAACACTCTCATCCCTGTCACTTAATTCTCACTGAGCAGAACTCATTCACACAGAGGTCCTGGGACATCCCTAGATTCAGGATCAGAGAAGCACACTGCTCACCTTGGAGAGCCACCGGAATAGCCTCAACTTGGATCTTTGTTGGTGTTTTCCATCCTAACTGGTCACAAGCTTCACACAGGACATCTGTCACTCCCTGAACATTAGAGAAAAGAAACAGACCTCACACCAAGGAGACATAACTTAAATCAGAATTAAGTTAAAATACATGTTGCAACCGAGCCAAGCTTGTCTTTAGCAGAGACAAACCCCATCAGGCCTGTGAACCAACTACATGGAAGGGCAGGCTGCTCACAGTGATCCCCATCTCCATCAGTAACTTCATAGATTTGTTCAAAACTGTTAGAGGTGACTGCCGTCAGTAAGAAACTAGTCAGTCATTTTTTCCCCAGTTTACACGAGGAACTTTGCAAAGACACAGTTGTCTCTCTTCCCCTCCGTGAGTATCCCATGAGAGCGGAAAAAGGAAAACGCCTGGGCAAGTTAACACAACGGAAAAGACAGTCAGCCGGCTGAGGAGCACAGACCGGAACAGCAACGCCAACCTCACCGGAGCGGCCTGAAATCCCCAGACTC